ACATGTACTGGCATCCATATATGGGATGCTGGCAGCACAGATAGTGGCTTTACCCACTCACTGTGCCACAACACTAGCCCCTCCATGAACCTTCTGAAGGCCCTCTTTCTGCAGTCTTTTCCATCTTGAAGTTACATAGTTTCTGCAGTCAGTACTATCTGTACTGATGACTGCAAAATGTATGCCCGCGGTGCTGTCTTCCCTTAAATCTCCAATTCTTGCTCTCTACTTATTTGGACATAAAATCAGTATTTCACATTTAACATCCACAGGGAAAAATGCCTGATTTTCTCTCAAATACTGTCAGTAAAAGTTGGCACTATTTACCCAGTTACATAAGCCCCAAACTACAAGTGTTGGTTTATGTGCCATTCTAAAGCTAATCAGCTGTACAAGGCTTGTGCTCTGCGCCTTTGGGATAGTGCACACTGCGTGACCACAGAGGCCTGGCTACTTCAGGCACAGCCGAGAGAGACTCGCGTGGGTGATGCCGAAACCATACCTTGACACACATCAAATTAAATGTGTAGAGGTTCTGGAAAGACTGGCTTGAATGTGAGTAGGTTAAAGCTTTATGGGACGGTTTTATCAGTGGGAGAGAGGAAATGTTGGGGAGCTTGAAAATAGATCCCTTTCCTCTTTGTCTCTGTTGCATTGTTTCCATTACACAGGGGTTTTGCTTTGTATAGTCCCTGAAGAAGTTCCAGAAGACCAACAGTCATTTCTGTTTGTTCGTGGAGGTGTTTCTCATTTAGCATCGCCTTCATCTGTACTCTTTCTTCCTTTCTGATTTGTCTTTCCTCTAAGTCTAGCTTCCCTAAGATGTTTCCATTCAGTGAAGAATTAGCTAGTATGATTTGGACACCAGCTAGGTAACCCATGATGAGAACCATCCTCAATGTCCATTTTTTTGCTCTCCATATACAATCTGGTTTTTTTTTTTTTGACATTACTGTTCTAATATATTTTAGAACTTTTCTTCTTCCTCTTTTGTTTCCACTGCTGTTAATCCTAGTTTAAAGTTATCTTTTATGCTAATTACTCTGGTAGTTTCGTAATATCTCCTTGTGCAAATTTTATACTCATATGGCATATTTCCTTCCCTGTGCCTAATTGGCCTGTAAGAAATGTCAATTAGAGCATGTCCGTATTTCCCTATCACACATGTGTTTAAATCCACAGCTATAACCATGGCCCAGGAAACTGCTTGACTATTTTCCATCCTTCCGTTGTTTTTTTTTAAATCATAACACTTATATTTGACCTTTGCTGTCCTTTCCTCCCTGTCTCCACACATGCAGCTACTCTAGACAGTAAGTTGTGAAAGTATAATTGCGAACTTTTCTATTTTGCTGAGTGCTATATCTTTACTGGCAATGCTGCTTGACCCAGAGGAAGAGCCAAATAAATATTTATTAAATGACTAAGTTGTTAACTATATAACTCATTAAATTTGAGTCTGTTGTAAATTATAAATTAGAGATCTAATTGGGAGTAGAGTAGCTAAATGCCCTAATGCTTCTGTCTGGTAATGAGTGTGCAATCTAACCTATTTGGCTTGGTCACCAGCTGTTCTTTACCTTAGTGTAAAGTATTATCTCATTCTGTCCTTGAGTAATCTCTGGAACTATTCATTTTGCTTCCTTCCGCGTGCTATTTCAGTTGCATGTTGTTAAGCTTGTCTTTAACTGGCTGAATCAATCCTTGGTCATATATTAACCACAGTGACTTAAAACCAAGTTTTTATCTTTTAATACTTCTATCCAACAAGCTACAGAAGGGCTGAATCTGTCCAGTTTGTCACAGACCTAAGTAGAATTAAGAGATACTCATTCTGCAGAAGTTACAACCATTGATTTATTAGGTGCCAAGTTTTCCATGGTTCAGAAATGGAGAATCTAAGTGATATCACCCTTTATCTATCTGTAGGCTGAGAAGTAAACACAGAGAGAAATGGAAATTGAGGGGCAAAATTCAGTGAGTTGATGATAGTGAAGTCAGTAAATGCCCGGTAGTTCTTATTCCAGTTTAGACAGTAGAAAATAGTTCTTCTGTTTCTTTGAACTTTTCTGTGCCTGGTGGGTGACAAGGTACGTTTAGTGATGCTTTTGTTGGCATAATGGAATGTTTTCAAAGGAAAAGCATAGTGGAGAAGAGAGGACCTTTTTTTTGTTTGTTTCATTAGAATTGTGTGTTGGTATTTGCAGCATGTGCTCCATTTGTTTCTGTGTGTTTACCTGCCTAGTGAAAAGAGAAAACAAAACTAGTTTTGTGGTCAATGTCATCTTGACCTTAGTTTATTTTGAACTTTAGGAACTTAGGTGTGTAGGTAGCTTTGTTGGATAGGCATGGGGTAAGCCTTTGTGTTGGTCAACAGTAGTGCAACATTAGTGGACATTTTATTGTACTAGATTTCCCTTGCCTTGTAGGCCATTAACATCCCCAACCCCTGACACTGGTGCTTTCAAGTTGTAGTGATAACCAAAACAGCCTCCGTATATTTCTGTAAGTGCTTTCTTGTGGGGGATAACTGTGCCTTTGACTTTGTCAGGCAGACAAAAAAGAATGGAAACTAAAAAGGACATAAAGTAAATATGACAGACCTTATAGTTGTTGGGAAAAGTGTAGCTTTGGTTGACAAACCACAGTCTGTTTTTGATAAATGATGATTTATTGGGAAACAGCTGTGCTCATTTGTTTATGACTGGCATAAAGCTGATATTATTGGTAGAACTGGGTTGGGTCAGATGGTATGTCTCCTACAAAGCTAAAAATACTGACTGGACCTTTACCATGCCAACCTTTGCTCTGGAGATGCTCAGTGCCCTTCTTATATTCTGCAGATGCCCGAAATATCTAAGATCTCAGAATCCCTCTGCTGTACTTACAACTGTAATCTTGTTTTGCCTTTTCAATCCATATTCACATTCGCATAGTCTTAAGATTTCTTACAATTTCTATACCTGAAACATGAGTTAGAACAAAGTAGGAACAAGGTATTTACCTTTTTTTCTGGGGGTGGGATTTCTGTTCTCCTATCCTTTTTTCTGATGTCTTGTTGGTATGGTACTTTCCATCCCTTCTCATGTCTCTCATGCTTTCCTTTCCTTCTCATGGAGAAAGCAGGATGTGTGAGGCAGGCAGAATTTTCTAGGTACCAAAAAGTGGTCTGCATTCTGTACAGAATACAAACTGTTCTGCTCATGGCCCTAAGCTCTTTAGTGAAGAGAAGACAAAAATATATAGAAGAATCAGAAAAAAAAAGTGGGGACAATTTTGGAATGTTTGGAGAAAATATTTGTGTTGTAGTTGCTTTTGTGAGATTATTACAGTGTACTATTAGACTTAGTACTGTAACTGCTCTCAACTTTCGTTTCCTCATCAGTAAAATGAGAAGAGTAATGCCAGTATCATATGACTTTGAATACTAAGTGACTTGAGTTTGTGGAAATAATTGTATGTTGAATAATTGTATTGAAATTCCCTAGGTACAAGAAGGAGAAAAAGAGAATGTGGAAATAATGGTCTCACCCAACTTCCTGTAGCCCTCGACACTTATCACCCTAATTAACTATGTAAAAATCATCAAAAGTCGATCAATAAATAAATCTTAAAAAAAAGAGAGAGAGCATTTAAATTGGGGTAGAGAAGAAGAAGGCTTTGAATAAGTGAGAAGAAAATAATCCCAGTAGTGCGTGGGTCTGTGCATCTCAGGGTCCTTTAGGATGACACAGGGACAGGGGGGGGTCCCAGCTGAATGAAATGCGGTGTGGGTGGGGAGTGGTCGGAAAAAACTCAAGAAGCTAATACTGGAGAAAACACATTACTGCTAGTAATTCTAAAGGAATTTACTGCTGTGTTTGTTGGGAAATTGTAACTAGAAGCATTATTATGAAGACGTAAGTTCGTTTTCTAAAGATAGAACATAATGTCCAGAATTTTTCAGGTTGTATCTCTAACAGCATTTGGAAATGCTGCTTAACAAGGCCTGAAATCGTCAACACCGTGCCTAAGGAGTGCAAGCACTCTCGGGTTATGTAGTTACTGCTTTTAAAGTTAGTGTTGCGAACACTCAGGAGTCAGCGCAGGGACTCAGTTAAAAAATTTGGGAGAGCAACAGTGAAAAAGTGCTAATGGAAGTCACCAGATTCAAAACCGTATTTTGCTTGTTTTATTCATTTTTTAATCAGCTTTTCCTGTATGGCTACTAATAGTGATGAGCAAAAACTTAAGGGTCTTTACAAAATTGGCATCTGTTCAAACCAGTGTCCATGTCAGATAGATTGCTGTGACAGCACCCAGGTTAGAACTGGGTAATACGTTCTCATGTCGTTCGTGAAGTATCTGAAATGGATGAGGACATATATAGACATGATTAATGGATTATAAGAAAAGAGAAATTCTGGTAGTGATTTCTAAGCCCAGGAGTTAAAGTAAAATTTTGTAAGACAGTTTTTTAAGATCTTTTTTTATCTGTATTTTGCCTTTTTCCTTTTTGTTATCCTTTTCTTTCATCACTTTAATTTTTCCTGCCTTTAAACTTCACTATTGGGGCTGGCATTGTGGCATAATGAGTTAATCCACCTCCTACAGTGCTAGTGTTCCATGTGGGCATCAAGTTCTGGCTGCTTCAGATCTGATCCAGTTGCCTGCCAATATGTCTGGCAAAGAAGTGGAAGATGGCCCATGTGCTGGGGCCCCTGTACCCACATGGGAGACCCAGGAGAAGCTCCTGCCTTCACCTGGTGCAGCCCCAGCTGTGCGACCATTTGTGGAATGAACCAGTGGATGGAGATTTCTTTCCTTTTCTGATTCTCCCCCTCTCTGTACCTCTGCCTTTGAAAAAATTAAAATAAATCTTTAAAAAAAATCACTGTCATCATTTCCTGAATACTTACTGATGAAACAGTTGTTAACTAGTAACTGATTTTGAAATTTTGTCATGTATTCTTAAAGAATCATTGGGAAAGATAATATTAATGCGACTTTACCAACCGCAGGTACCGGGAGGCGATTCAGAGGTGGGATGAAGCACTGCACTTAACCCCCAATGAGGCTGCCCTCCATGAGATGAAAGCACAGGTAATAACTGTGAACAACTTCACATGTCTTCATGAAATTTGCTACATTTATTGCATAAACAGTGATGAGCTGAAGTAGTATATCCTCCCATTTTCTTTTTCAAATATAATATATTGAGAAAAATAATCACCATTTTATTTGTGGTTCTGTTTTTTGCATCAAATTAGAAATTTATTTGTTTTCACAATGAGGTTAGCTATTCTAGCTAATTATAAAATACGAGCAGATTGATTTTTTTTTATTGATTGCATTGCATTATGTGACATAGTGCTATAGGCACTGATATTGTCCCCCCTCCCATGGTGAATTCCTCCACCTTGTTGCATTACCACAGTTCAAATTCAGTTGAGATTCTTTCATTGCAAGCATCTACCAAGCATAAACTCCAGCATCTTATTGTCCAAATAAGTTCAACGGTTTCTTGGGGAGACCATCTCTGATCTGAAGGTAGAGCTGGCAGAGTATCATCCCAATCAATTAAAAGCCCCAACATAACATCAGTAACAATTTATAACGTTATGGAATAGTTGACATGGTACCATCATGTTAAAAGAGAAAAAAAACGTGCAAGTTCTGAACCACATCCTGTGACTTCTACATTGACATTTCAGTTATTAGTTTATATACAACCGGGTTCTATACATCTTAAAATGGCTATAGATTACTATTCAGCTGTCTCACATCTATTTTAATTTTAGTATTTAGCAGTTTATAGTGTTGAAGCATGATTTTGCTGAACCTGGCTGCTTTTCGGGTAGTCTAACTCTATAACTCTAGCAAGACATATGTCAACAGTTTAGGTGAACAGTTTTAGGAGGGGTGTGCAGAGAAATCTTCAGTACCCCAATGAGGAGTAACTAATCTTTGTGTCCCACCCAGTGAGTTATAAGAGAGCAGATTGATTTTTAAAAAAAATTATAGACGATCTCTTAAATAAATGAAACATGTCTGCTTTCTTTGTAAATTGATCGTGGTAGACTTGGCTCGGTTTTCTTTAACATGAGCATGGATTGGGATCTGGATGAAATTTAAAAATAAACTTGTTTTTAGCAAAAGGTCAGACATATTAATTGATTTATTAATAGTTTAAAATAGTGTAAACTAGCTTAAAGTAGTATGAACTAATATAAAAATAAAATTGATTATTATACTTCAAAAACAGGTTTCTAATGTCCTATGGAAAAGTTTGTAAAGAAAGTCTCTGAACACCAAAGTTACATTAGCCAAGATTTCTTGAAGATCTCAAACAGAGCACAAGACATATTTTTATTTATTTATTTTTAAATTTTGTTTTATGACACAGTTTCATAGGCTCTGGGATTCCGCCAACTCCTTCCCAAGCCCTCCCCCCATGTTGGATTCCTCCACATTGTTGCAGTAGTATAGTTCATATCCAGTCATAATTCCTTCATTGCGAGCATGTACCATACAGAGAGTCCAACCTCTTATTGTCCAGATAAGTTCAACCGTTTCCTTGGGAGACCATCCCTAGTCTGAAAATAGAGCTGGCAGAATATTATCCCCTTCAATGGAAAGCCACAGCATAACATCAGCAACAATTTACAACATTATGGAGTTAATTGACATGGTATTGAGTGACCAATATGTTAGAAAATGCAAGTTCTTAACCACATCCTGTGACTACTTCATTGATGTTTCAAATTTAGTTTATACACAACAGGCTGCTATACTCCTTAAAATTGTTATAGGGTACTATTCAGCAGTCTCGTGTCTAATTTCATTTTTATATTTAGCAGCTTATAGTATTGAAACATGATTTTTACTTAATTTGGCAAATTTTAGGATAATCCAAAAAAGCTTAAAACTCTAATAAGGCTAGATAGACAGAGACCATAAAGGAAGCTTAGAACAGACAGGAAATGGTCAGCTTGGACTCACATATTCCTTACTAGGTAGAACACAAAGATTAGTTACTCCTCACTGGGGTATTGAAGATTTCTCTGCAAACCTCTGCTAAAACTGTTCTGTGCCTCAATTGTTAACAAGTTGTATTTTTAACAGAGAATTTTTATACTTAAGCCATGGTCTCCATCCTTTTTTAAAAATATGTTTTTATTTTGTATTTTGAATCATGTGGTACAGTTTCATATAGAATGGGATTTCCTCCCCCTCCAACTCCCACTCACCAACAGATTTTCCCCATTTTACTGCATGGGTGTAGTCCTTCATAAGGAATCATAATTCTAGCAGTCTGTTATTTAAGTGTATCCTGACATTGTTGGTACAGACAGTGTCAGATAGTTCCGCCATGGTCTCCATCCTTAACGGATATTTCTCAGATGGTAGTTTTTGGTGTAGATACTCCTGTGACCAATTTGGTTTTTACTTTAGATAATAAAAATCCAAATAAATTCACTGAGTCAGGTGCTCTGGGGCTTATCAGTTGGATGCTTTTAATTTTTAATCTTAAATAATTATTATACAGTTTTAAGGATTTATTCACTATTGAAAAAGCAGATTTAACAGAGAAAAGCCTTCCAAATGGCCAGAGCTGAACTGTCCAAAGCCAGGAGCCTCTTCTGGTATCCCATGTAGGTTCAGGATTCCAAGGACTTGAACCATTCTCGGCTGCTTTTCCAGACCATTATCAAGGAGCTGGATTGGAAGTGCAGCAGCCAGAACAGGAATTGGTGCACATGCCAGGATGCCAGTGCAACTAGGTATAAGATTAACCTGTTGAGCCAAGGCGCCAGCCTGATTATTTGTGTTAATAGAAGGATTTGTGGCATAGTAAGCTAAGCTTCCACCTGCAGTACTGGTGTCCTGTATGGGAGCCAGTGTGAGTTCCAACTGCTCACTTCTGATCCAGCTCCCTGCTGATGGCCTGGGAAAGCAGTGGAGGCTGCCTTGATTCTTTGAGCCCCTGCACCCACCTGGGGGTTCAGGAGAGACCAGGAAGAAGCTTCTGGTTCTTGGCTTTGGATCAGTTCAGCCCTGGCTGTAGTGATCATTTAAGGAGTAAACTTGGAGATGGATGGTCTCTCTGTCCTGTCTGTGTAACTGCCTTTCCAATTGAAAGATAAAGGAGAGAGGGGATTTGTGGGAAACTTTATAAAGAGCTGTTTAATTTGGAATCTGATGATGTTTTTGTCATAAATCCTCTAGAATGTTAATGATCTCAGATTATTGACAAAATTCAGCCCCTTGTGATAACCTCAGACAGACTTTTTTTTTTTCTGATTTGAATGATTCGAAAAGTATAACTGTGAGATGGTCTTTGGAATTTTTGATTATTTTTAGGGCGTGTATATTCCCTGGGGACAGAATGTCTGATTGAACAAATTAGTTTACCTAGTTTACTAGCAAGACCTGGTGTAAATAGAATTTAAATAGAAATGAAATTGGTGGTTGAAATAGCTCTGGGCTGCCAAAACTACAGTGTGATTGCTTAGGTTTAAACCTGTGAATGTAGGGTTCAGTCACTGGAGAGAGAATAGTTTATGTGAAGAGGACTAAATTCCTGACCCTCAGTCGTAGAGGAGGGGAAAAACCCAGTGAAGTACTATTTATCAGATTACAAACTTATTTGAAAAATTTAAAAGCAGTTGGTTGTGCTTGTCGATCAGTGCTTTTTCAGCTTATGAATGTTAATGTAAGGGTTTTTTTCTTCTTTTTGCTTTATAGGTCCTAATGTCTCTTCATGAAATATTCCCAGCGGTACATGCAGCAGAAATGGCTGTCCAGTGCAATCCACATTCATGGGAGTCTTGGCAAACTTTGGGACGTGCTCAGCTTGGGTTAGGAGAGATACTTCTGGTAAGGAATTTGGATTATTATGAATGCTAAAATTGAAGTTTATATCTACTGAATCAGCAAGTCAGTGAATACCCACTTAGCAAATCTATGCAAAAAAAACCAGAATTGCCTCTTGAAGATATTAACTTATAAACACTAATCAGATTTTTGCTGAACATCTTTTTTGGTTACAAATGACAACTGTATCATAATCAAAATATTTTTTAGTTATTTGACATAATTTACAATACTACGCTTGATCTTAGCCAAAAGGCCAAGAAGCGATATAATTTATAATACTTAAAGTAAAACATTACCTGGTGTTGATAAGCTGTATTAAATAGGTAATAAGCAACTTTACCTTAGTTGTTTGGATCATTGAGTTTTCCACAGTATGAAAGTGTGTTCGTATGATTGTGGAAATAGATTTTGTAGTGAAAGGAAGAAAGGAGAATATGGTAAAGTAATGGTGGTGAGTTTTTGGAATGCAAAGTTACTTGGCTTCTGGAGGGGAAAATGGGGGAGGGTAGAAGGTGTGAAATCTACCAAGAGCTGTTATAAATGTGTCTGTCAATTTGACCATTACTTGTTGATAACAAAGGCTAAGCATAAGGAATTAGTTGTGAGAATTGTCACGTTTTTGTTTTGATTTATGGCTAAAAAAGCTTAACTTTTTAAATAAGTATTGGTAAACCTAACATAGGAATGTCAGTCTTTTTCATTAAGTAAATTAATGACAACTATTTTACACCAATGGGATAGATAAGTGATTATTTCTCTGAAAAAGAAGATGAAAGGTTTAAGATTTACATTTGTAAACTTGGGCCTGACGTGATAGCATAGTGGTTAAAGTCCTTGCCTTGCATGCGCCCAGGATTCTTTATGGGCGCCGGCTCTAATCCCGGCAGCCCTGATTTCCATCCAGCTCCCTGCATGTGGCCTGGGAAAGCAGTCAAGGGAGGCCCAAAGCCTTGGGACCCTGCACCTGTGTGGGAGACCCAGAAGAGCTCCAGGCTCCTGGCTTTGGATTGGCTCAGCTCCAGCCGTTGTGGTCACTTGGGGAGTGAACCATCAGATGGAAGAGCTTCCTCACTCTCTCCTCTCTGTATATCCGCCTTTCAATAAAAAATAAATAAATCCTTAAAAAAAAGATTTACAGTTGTAAACTTAAAAAAAAATTGTTTTTCTGAAAGTCAGAGAGAGACAGATAAAGAAGAAGAGAATACAGCTATTTGCTCTGAGTGTCTCCCAAAAGCCCATAACATCCAGGAGTTGGAGTTGGAGCTGGGAACTAGAAATTGAGTCCAAGTGTTCCATGTGGGTGCCAGGGACTCAGTTGCCTCGCGTCTCATGCACCAGCAGGATGTTGGCATCAGCAGTGTAGCAGGGCCTGCGTCAGGCATTCTGATACGGGACTGTACTAGTGACTTAACCATTCGCCAAATACCTACCCTCATAAATGTTTAGTTTAATGACTACTATAGATTCTGTCTGAGTCAAGCTGCTTTATCTTTGGTAATCTTGAAGAGCACAACTTATTAGTGAAAAATTCTGCATGTTGAAACTTAAGGTAAGAATTAAAAAATAAAAATAAATGGTTTTAAGAACTTTATATTATTGTCCTATCATATAAAAATAAATTTTCTTTGGAACACTTAATATCAGGTTTGCCCATTTAATTTTTGTATGTGTAAGTATTGATCACTGAATGCAGTGCAGTAGCGCAGCAGCAGCTGCCGAGGCCTGTGTGCTTTACTTGATTGCGTCTTCATTGTTAACAACTTCCCGTTTTCCTCTTCCCCTCCACCCTCTGCTGAGAATCCCAGTTCTCCTTTTTGATTCCATGAATTTGACTATTTTTGTTACCTCATATAAGTAGAATTACAGAATTTTTGTTCTTCTGTAACTGACTCATTTCATTTACTATACCCATTTACAGTGCATTGCAGACTGGATTTTAAGGTTAGATAATATCCCATCTTATGTTTATTTCATTTTTTTGTAAACTGTTCATTTGTCAGTTGACATTTAGACCGTTTCCATGTATTTTCTGTTGGTAATAGTGCTCCAGTGATTACGGAAGTGCTAGTATCTCCATTGACATCCCGATTCTGTAGCTAAATGTCTGAAGCAAGGTTACTGGATCATAGTATATATGTGCTTAGTTTTTAAAGAAATCTGCATACTGTTAATGTAGCAGCTGTCACATTTGAATTTCTGTCAACAAGGTATAAGAATTCCCGTTTTTCACAGTCACTAGCATATGTACTCCTATGGAGCAGATTGATTTCATGTACTTTGTATATGTAGAATGTACGATACTTCCTCTCTCGTCTTCTTACTCCCACCCTTCGTAATGATTCTGTATTTTTCTTTTTAAGTTTTATGATGACATACTTTCAGTTTACTTTATGATCACAAGCTTAATCCTCCACTAAATAGAGAATTCAACAAGTAGTAAGTAGAGAAAACAATCACTCCTATGTATTACATTGTTTAGTACTCTCTATTTTCATTATTACAAGTCAGAAAAAACATGTGAAGTAGTATTTCATTGTGGCTTTCATCTGCATTTCCCCACTGATTTACTGACATTGAGTATCATTTTATATTCCTGTTTGTGTTTATTGCAAGTGTATTATAGAAATTCTTACATATCTTATGTGTTAAAATTACATAATTTATAAATATTTTCTTAGTCTTTAGATTGTTTTCACTCTTGAGTGTTTCCTTTGCTTAGGGGACACTTTTTATGATGTAGTCATATTTGCCTATTTTTTTCTTTTATTGCACGTACCTTTGTTGTTAATGTCCATGAAGCCACTGTTAAGACAAATGTCACGAAGCTTTTTTGTTTCCACTAGAAGTTTTATAGCTTTGATTCATATGTTGTAAGTCTATAATCCATTCTGAGTCATACTGTATAAGAGGAGGATCTAGTTTCATTCTTTTGTGTGTTGATGTCCAATTTTTCCCGCATCATTTATTGAAGAGATTTTGCTTTTCCTGTTGTGCACTTGACTTCCTTGTTGAACATCAGTTGCCCATATATAAGGGAAGTCTTCAAAAATTCTTGGAGAAAGGATTTTACGAAAAATTATGCATGGATTTCATTTTTTTTTTTTGCACTGGAATAAACTTATTTTTAATTCCATTTTCCATGAAGTTTTTGAAGTACTTTGGTATACATGAATTACTTTCTAGGCCTTCTGTTCTTTCCATTGGTCCACGTAAGATGTTTCACCAGTTACATCTTCTGTTTATCGTAGCTTTGTAATGTACTTGAAATTGGGAGATGTGTGCTTCTATGTTTGTTTTTCTTCTCAAGGTACATTTGTCTGCTCAGGCTCTCTTTTGGTTGCTTGTGTTTTGTAGGCACAGTTTGTTCATTTCTATCGAAAGATGAGTTGAGATTTTGCTGGATCTGTTGATTGCTGATAGTGTGAATGTTTTAATGGTATTAAGTTGTCTGGTCCATGGAAAGGTATTCGTGTCTTCTTGAATTCCAGCAGTGTTGCATAGTTACAGTTATCCTCAATGTTTTTTCATTATTTATGGTGCTTTTGTAAAATGAGTTGTTATTGTAATCTCCTTTTCAGATGATTGTTGTATAAAAACACAGTTGGATTGTGTTCTGCAACCAGTTCATTTGTTGTAACAATTTTTAAGTGGAGTGACTAGGACTTTTTGTATGTAACACTAAGTTGTCTGCAAAAGGGCTATTTTTACTTCTTTCTGATTTGGGTGTCTTTTTATTTCTTACCGAATTTCTCTGTGTGGTGCAATTTTGAGTAGAAGTGGTGAGCATGAGCCATTTTTTTTTGAATATGACATCTAAAGCTTACGTAACGAGGGACCAGAGGAAAATTGGACATCAAAAAGGAGCATTTTTGCCTCAGAGGATAGAAAGAGAAAAAAAAGCAAAAAAGAAAAAAAAAAAAGAAAAGAAAAAAGGTAATACCCAAAGAATGTAAGAAATTATGTATTTGAAAAGGCTCTTTTCCCAAGGATATATCAAGAAGTTAAACGACTCAACAACAGGAAGACAAACAGTAAGTCTTTAAGTGGGCGAAAGATCATTTTTTGCAAAGAAAGTATACATGCAAACAGCTAATAAGCATCTTAGAAGATGCTAAGCAACCTGAACATCAGGAATTACAATATAAAACTGTATTGAGGTGCTACTTCACATCCTCTAAGATAGCTGTCAGAAAAAGGGTGAACAACATCAAATGTTACTGAGGGTATTATTGAGAATATGAATTGTTACAGACACTTGAGACATTCTCGAAGTTTTTCAGAAAATGGAATTATACAGTTGGCATAAGACAAAGCAGTTCTGTCAAATTTATATCCAAGAGAAATGAAGATACGTGTATACACAAAAACTTGCACATAAATGTTCATGTAACAGTATAATGTCCAAGAAATTAATATAATTGAAATGCTACCAGCTGACGAAGCAAAATTTGATACAACTCTACAATTTTTTATTCAACAGTGAAAAGAAATGAAGTAGTGATTACAACATGGGAAAACCTTGAAAATAATATGCTAAGTGAAATAAACCTGATGCAAAACTCCACATGTTGTGTGGTTTCATTTATATTGTATGTGTAAAGTAGGCAGATCTAGAGACACAAAGATTTGTTAATAATTGCCCTAAGGCTGGGGTCTTGAGAAATGCTGATAGATGCAGGGTTTCTTTTTGGGGTGACAAAATGTTTTGAATTTTGTTTTGGTGATGGCTCCATAGCACCGTTGAATGACGTGAATGGTGTAAGTGTTGAGGGGGTATGAGAGAGCTCTGGCAGCAGTTAAGGTACCACTTTGGGACACACCCCCCACACTGAAGTACTGGATCTGAGTCGCTAACTGTACTTGTAACGTTAGCTTCTTGCTCATGTCCACTCTCATAGGTGGCGGGTGGTGGCTGAGGTACTCAGATGCCTGCTGTCCACAGGGAACATTCCGATGAATTCCTGGCTCCTTGATTTAGTCTGGCCAAAATTCTGCTATTGTAGGCATGTGGAAACTGAAACAGCAGATGGAAGGGCTTTTTTTTTTTTTTTTTTAATTTTCTCTCTGTTTTTGAAGTAAAAATTAAATAATTTTGAAAAACTTAGTGAATACAAATACAGTCACCACTTTAATGTTTTGTTAGGTATCTGCTTTATAACATTCTTGCATATTCATAGGGTTTTTTGTCCTAGAATATTAAGAACATTCAACATTCATGATAACTTTATAGGGCTCTGGCATGTTTGCATATTTGCTGACTAATTGACTGATTTTAACCTTTGAATAAAGTTGAGTCATCAGAATTTCATTATATTTTCATGATTTGCTCTTTGGTTCAGCCTGATCCAGCCCTGTCTATTCTGAACAGTTCGGAGAGTGACTCAGTGGATGGGCGCTCTCGCTCGCTCTCTCTCACTCTCTCTCATTCTTTGTCTCCATTTCTCTGCTTTTCAAATCAATCAATAAATAAAATTATAAAGATTGTAACTTACCTTTTTATTCATTGCTTTACATACCTATTTCTTTTTTTTTTTTTTTTGATGATTTCTAAAGGACCAGGTTTGGTAGAATATGTGAGATCCTAAAACAAAGCTGCATTTGCATAAAGACCCTCTCTCCATAGAGTGAGTGTTCTCAGAGAAGAGCACACAGTAGATGCAGACTAGCAGTTCTCAACTTGAAGCACTTTTCCCTCCAGGGTGCAGTTGTCAACATCTGGAGACATTTTTAGTTTTTAGGATATAGGACGGATACTGTGTTGGCATTTAGTGGATGTAGGTCAGGGATGTGGCTAAACTGTCCACAGAACCTGGACCAACCCCCTGCCCCCCTTACCCTAGATAATCAGTAGTGCTTAGGTTGACTTTGAATCCAATGAAATGGGCTCCTTAGGTGAGAGCACTGTAACAGTGAATAAGAGCACTGTGAATTCATCCTGGGTTTATATCTCAGTTCTGCCGCTTCCTAGCTGGCACCTTTGGTAACTGATCTCCGGGTGTCTATAAAGAAGCTTTGAAAGTAATAACCATGTCTCCATCTACTTCATTGCATTGTCACCAGGCTGATTGAGTTAATATGAGACAAGCATGAAGTTGAATTAAAATGTGTTGATCTCTAGTGTCTGGAGCATAGTAAACCACATTAAATGTTAGCATTTTTCTTTTTTCTTTTCTTTCTCTTTTTAAAGATTTATTTATTTGGTATTCATTTATTAAATATTTATTTATTTTTATTGCAAAGTCAGATATATAGAGGAGGAGAGACAGAAAGGAAGATCTTCCATCCACTGATTCAGTCCCTTAGTGACCATAATGGCTGGAGCTGAGCTGAACCAAGGCCAGGAACCCAGAACCTGGAGCCTCTTCTGAGTCTCCCACATGGGTGCAGGGTCCCAAGGTTTTGGGCCATCCTTGACTACTTTCCAGGCGACAAGCAGGGAGCTGGATGGGAATCGGGGCTGCCCTTATGGGATCCTGGTGCGTTCAAGGCAAGGACCTTAGCTGCTAGGCTACCATGCCAGACCCAAGATTTATTTGTTCAAAAGACAAGAGTTTATAGAGAGAGGGGTAGTTAGAAGACGAGGGCTCTTTCATCTGCTGGCTCACTCTCCAAATGACTACTTTGGCCAGAACTGGTAAGATCTGAAGCCAGGGACCCAGAACTTCTTGTGAATGGGTCTCTCTTGTTAGTACAGGGCCCCAACACTTGGGCTGTCTTCTGCTGCTTTCCCAATACCTTGGCAAGGAGTTGAGTTAGAAGCTGAGCAGGGGATTTAAATTGGTTCCAGTATGGGTTAGTTGGCCTCAAAGATGGTGTTTTAACTTGCTCTGCCACACAGCACTGGCTCCAAATATTAGCATTGTTAAGATGCAAGCTCTTAGTATCAAATTCATACATTCCTCATATTTTCCTGATTATGGTTTTCCTAGGGAAATCCAAGATCAATATATTTTGTAGTGTGAACAAGCTAAATAGTTTATCTGCATTTCTTTGAACTCTAACATCAGTACCTCCGTATGTTGACTTAATCTGTAAATATTTTGCCAGTAATTTTACTTCACACTTCTAACATTCTGACACTGTACTCATTATCCACTGGTTAGGCAAAGCACATATTTCTATCCTGTGTGTTGTAATGCATAAATAAAATGCATTAGAATGTGTGTAATGTAATGTGTGTACACAATTTAACGTATACACACACACACACACACACACACACACACACACACACTCCCAATTGTATTAAGCCTGTTTGTTGTGAAACAAACAAAAAACTCTGACTTTTTTCCCTCTAGGCAATTCGAAGTTTTCAAGTAGCCCTTCACATCTATCCAATGAATCCTGAAATTTGGAAAGAAGACCTTTCTTGGGCAAGAATGTTATTGGAGCAGCAGAAAGCTGCACAGAGGATCAAGAGAAGTGAAGCACCAAATGCGGTGACACAGTTTTCGCAGAAGTCGATTCCGGAAGTCGACTATGACTTTGAAAGTGAGGAGATTATTGCTGTTTGTGCAGCTATTGCTGAGAAACAGAAGCAGGTTTCAGCCAATAAAACTATGGTGATTGTGTCCGCTTCTGGGACTGCTGAGACCATAACCGAGAAGGAAGATGGGGCTACGCCACCCGACAGCTCTGCTTTTATCAAAGCCCGATGAAACTGTGCTTAGAGGAATTGTTTGAGTCTTTTTGATTGGCACAAAAAGTGTAGCCATAGGGATATTTTTTCTGGCAAAAGAGCAGAACTCCTGCTTATAATGTAAGTCCTTCAGATGAGGCATGAAACAAAAGCTAAATGGTAGAATTTTTTCATAAGCTATGACTTATAATGTAAAGATTAGAATTTGAGCAAATGTTTTTTGATAAATAAACTTAATCCAAATGTGTAATTGGACACATTTTAATGATGCAGCTTGAAAAGTGTGTTTGTGTGCAGCTGGTAACTTGATGGTAAATGTTATTAAAATGTGGACTTATCAACTTTTGTTTTATGGATAGTGTTTGGCTTCTTTCTGTCTTAGAAATAAACTATTACTGTTTTATTTTTATTGTTTCTCTAGAGTATGTGTATCACAAAGTTTGAGTGTTTTTGATACTAATTTTGGTTTAAAGTTGTCATTTCATTATATGTGGAATCTTTGAAAGTGTGACTGAAAATGCATGAAAATGTGTGTCTTCTCAGCTTTTTCTAGTTTTTGGTTTGTGCTTCTGTAACAATATTGATTTTATCCTTCAATATTTGCTACGAGTTTAAAGTACTGTTAAATGTCAGAATGATTTTTTAAAATTTTTATAGTAATTAGAGTAGTCCTAACCACAGTGAGTAATTTTTGAAATCTCCAGTTTTAAAAGAATGATGTTATGGATGTAGTATTAAAATTATGCCACTTAGTTTTCCCAGTCAAAAAGCATTATTTTTTTCTTATTTTTGAAACTCAGAATACTTCTTGCTTCTGAATTTGCAACTGATGATTTAGAATTGTTTTTTCTGGTAACTTTTTTTGGAATTATTCAGTGAAATGAGAAATAATTATTAGAATTCTAGTAGTTACTTTCTTTCTAGGAATAAAAAATGTAGTTAGTATTATAATGAAAGTTAATGAATTTTATTACAAAATCATAGAAGTTGGGATGTATTTTTAAGTATTGTCCTACTAGTAGGAGACTACATTAAAGAAAGAATTTATAAAAACTCATGATTAAATTCATAAATCAAGAGTGTGATTGCTGATGTGAGTTTTTTGTGTATCTTATGTGGAATAGTATAATTGCATAGAACTATTGAATACTATTACTTTTGGCACTCAGGAAGATACTAGTATAAAATTAAGTTAATTTTTGTTAGAGGAAAAGTAACTACTTTTTGTAGCTGTTGAGTATACGAATATATAAGTAATAGTCAATTGTTAGGCAGATTTTTGAAAAATTTATTTTGGTGAAATGCTTCTTTCTTCTTCCTTTTTATCTGAAGTTGGAGAAATTGTTACCATTGTTAAATGGAGAGATCAGTTTTGGAATGATAAAAAAATTAATGCATTTTGTTTAATAAAGGAATATTCTCATAGATACAGATAAGTACCTGGAAGAAAGTACCCTGTGTTGTTTGGAGCAGTGTTTATTTTTGGTTGCGTAAGTTGCAAAGTTTTTTTTTTCTGCCTTTTGAAGATTTTTCTGTGGTGTAAGCTCTTTAAAAAATCAGTGTACTTTTTTCTTGGTGCAAGTTGTATATGTAAAACTTGTGCATGATTCTTCCCATATGAGGTGCTCAGTTCATGCTTGCTATTTCAATAAGGAACTAGTGTTAATTTAGAAATTATCTCAATTTCTTCTGATTTATGAAAGGAGACCTTCTTAATCTTTCTTGTATAGGAGTGAGCTTTTACTATTTGTGTTTCTGATAGGACAGGTGGTTTGTCAGTGGAGTTCTTTCTTGGCATCAAGTTTATGTTTCAGCTTCACAGAAGGCAAGTGTCAGGGTGGATTACCTATAGCCACCATGTTAAAGAGCCCAGTGTTTGCTCGTATTGGCATTGCTGGACCACTTTAGTTTCAGCCTTATGTAAATAAGAATTAAATAGTTTCACTGTAAGATGGAGGAAAAAGGAATAATGAATAATGGAGAAGGAAGCCCGCTCATTTCTCCAGGCCCCCAAAGATGCTTATTTTAGCTGACACTCTTCTATGCACAAAGAAAAAGATACATCTGTTGTTTTTCAAGGATGTATTGCTATACAAATATTTAATAAGATTGTTAATTGTAATAACACGCCTTTTTCAGTCTGAAGATAAATAATTGAAGTTAAGGATAATGATTTAATTATAAATGTTTAACTTTTTGAAATGACACTGTTTAATGTTCAAACTGTGTAGGCTATAGTTTGTATTGTTCTTGTTTGGAAGTTGTTGGAATAGACACTTATTAGAGCACTACACGTGCCTGATCTCCTGAGAATCATTCTGTAGAAAACAGATCGTTAGGTTATAGAGTACTTAGGTACTAGAGTAGTTATTAGGTATAAGCTAACAGGACCTAAAGCATCAGTCATGTGCAACATAGATTACAGAACTCAGATCTGCCACAATTGAGGCCTACATAAAAAACTTAATGGTTTAGGCAAACATGCCTTTTAAATTGATGTTACATATCAAAACTTAAAAAGCTGTGTTTTAGCCAGCATTCCTTTGGCTTTAACTGAGCAGCATAATCTTTTCAATTTGAGAACTATAACTTATAAAAATATTTATTTATATTTCTTGGAAAGGCAGAACTAGAGAGCAGGTGAAGGAGAGGGGGAGAGAGGTAGTGATAGAGTAAGAGAGGGATGAAGCAATAGAGAGAGAGAGGTCTGCTGTGTTCTGGTTTACTCCCAGATGGCTGCAGCAGCCACAACAGGGCAGGTTGAAGCCAAAAGCCCGGAGCTTCGTTCCTCTGGGGTACAGAGGACCAAGCACGTATACCATCATCCGCTGCTTTCCCAGGTGCATTGTGGAGGTGTGTCAGATGTGGAGCAGCTGGGCCTTGAACCACACCCAATATGGCAGGCAGCAGTTTAGCCCACTATGCCACAGTGCTAGCACTCCAACACTATGATTTTATATGATGCAAAAAACGTATTTTGCTAATTCTGTCAACAGAATTATGACTCATCTCTTTAATTTCAAGTTAGAAGCTCTGCTATATTGGTTGAACTGTGATTTAGTGACATAAATGTATCTAAATGAATTGACCCAAGATACATGGTTCCATAGTATTATCTAAAGTAGACATGTTAAACATGTTTTTTTTTTCCCTGAGGGCTTATTATTAAAACTAATGTACTCATAATTGATGATACTTTAGGATTGAGAAATGAAGGTAGTATTTTTTTTAACCAGTAATAAAATATGGAAATTTATAATAAGCTCTTTGCTTACCAAAGTAAATTAAAATGATATAAAGGAGCTAACTCCTAAAGTTATATCCCTTAGTCATTTGCAAATAAATATGGCAACACTGATGGAAGATAAGATGGCCTGCACACATCTTGCTTTATGGTGTTTTATGTGGACCCCACCTGTTCTGTGTGCTGTGGTGGATGAAAGATGTCTAAAGCCCTTTTGCATTCAGCTCCTTTCTACCTCAAATAGGCAGCCCTGTTCATCTGCTTAGCTGTTGTCTGTGACTAAAAATTAGATCTGATTTTCTTAGAATTTCAAATAGATCATATAGTGTGTATTCTTCTTGCATCAGTTTTTTCTTTGCTTAGCATACATAATGCTTTGAAATCCATCCTGTTGTGTAAATTAGTAATATGTTTCATTTTATTGCTGAGTAATTTTCTGTTGTGTGGCTAAACTACAGTGTTTAATTGTTTATCTGTTGGTGAGCATCTGGGTTGTTTCAAGTGTTGATCTATTATGAATAAAGCTGCTCTCTGTGTATATGACAATTCTATGTAGACATATGTATTCATATCTTGGTAGATATCTGTGGATGAATTAATTAAAATAAGTGTATGATACGATTATAGAAGAAACTGCCAAACTGTTTTGCCAAGCATCTGTGCTTTTGTGTTCACGTGTTAGTATGTGTTAACAGCAGTGTATTTAGAAGTTTCATTTGCTCCGTATCTTTGTCAGGGCTTAGTACCCTCAGTTTTTAAAAATTAGCCTCCTTAGTATCTCATTGTGGTTTCAGTACTCATTTCACTGATTTTGTTGCTCATTATTTCATCTTTGATATTTGCATACTTCTTCTAAGTTATTTATTCTAATATTTTGCCCATTTTTGTTTGGATTGTCTTACTATCTTGAGTTGTAAGAATGTATCGTTTCTGGGATATGAGATATGTGTTCTACAAGTTTTGCCCTGCCCCCATCTATGTCTTGTTTGTGTTATTTATTATACATTTTAAAGAGTAGTAGTTTTAAATTTTAAAGTCCAGCTTACATGCTTTTTACAGATTTTATGATTGTGCTGCTCATGTGCTGAGAAAGCTGTACATATCCCTGAATTATAAAGACTTTTTTCTTTTATATTAAAAATTTTATAGTTTTAGCATTTATTATTAAGTGTGTGATCCAGGTTAAGCTAAATTTGGTATCTGATGTATGGTAAAGTTTGATGTGTGTATTTTTACATGTCTAGCTATTCCAGTATCATTTGTTGAAAAAACTATCCTTTTCTGTTGAAATACCTTAGCATCTTTGTTGGAAGTGGTTAATAGCATCTGAGGGTCAGGTTGAGCTCTGTATTCTGTTGCATTGCTCTGTCTGTATGTGCTTTCTTTCATTGTTTTGGTGTAGCTTTATAGTAAGTCTTAAATATCAGCATGAATCTTCCAATTTTGCCTTTCCTCTAAAATCGTGTAGCTGTTCTGGTTTCTTGGCATGTCCATATATGCTTTAGAATCAGCTTATCTCTGTAAAAACCCACTGAAATTTTAATCAGAATCATGTTGTATCTGTAATCGGTTTAGAAAGTACTCCCACTTGACGATATTATGGTTTTGAATTTTTCACTTGGTATAGCTATTTTTTTGTTTAATTTTTCTTGGGAATGCCTCTTTGTTTTCAGAAGGTGCATCACTCTTTTGCGTTATTAAGAGTGTTTTTAAAAATTCTAATTTTCAATTTGGATGGCATGCATGGAAATACAAGCTTTCTATTTTGTATTTCTTTGCTTTCTTGGTGCTTCTGGGCTACAGAAGCACCTAGCTAGGACCCAGGGAAGCTCTGTACTAAGTAGTCTGTTCTCATGTTTATATTACATGGCTTCTTGGTCAATGTTCCACTCAAACAGTGTTACCAATCCCATTATCATTCCTAACTGGCTGACCTGGATGATTAGATTAACTCAACGCTTAGGAGATGATACTACAATTACTCTCCCATCTTTTCTATCTTATTAGAACCAAGTAAGATTTAAAGTCAGACCATCAGAACTTTGATGTGTAGAAAATTTGAAGTTGTAGAAGTAGTCCAGAACCAGTGTCCTTTAGCAAGAAACAAAAGCCAATCCTTGCATTATCTGTTAAGTTTTACACAATAAATGGAACAAGAGACAACAATGATGGAATTCTTTTTTACTTGGCTATTCAACAATATTATGAATTGAATCATGTGCCCTTAAAATTTGTTTGTTGAAGCCATAATCCCATTGTGACTATATTTGCAGATAGGCTCTATAAGGAGGTTATTGAGGTTGAATGATGTCCTAAGGACAAGGTCCTAACCTACTGTGGCTTTTGCCCTTATGAGGAGAGAGAGAGGCACCAGGAGTGTATGCACTTAGAAAAAAGGGCTGTGTGTAAGTCAGAGAGTGCCTCTAGAATAACCAGCTGATATCCTGAGGTTGAGCCTGCAGCCTCCAGAATGCTGAGGAAATGCACAGCCTCCCAGGCTGTGGTCTGCTGTTGTAGCAGTCTCTGCTGATGAAGGACAAAGGCTTCAATAGACGTTTTCTCTCAAGTTATACTAATATCCAGTAAATAGATGAAGAGATTCTTACTATCATTTTACATTAGCAAAATGCAATTCAAAACCACAGTGTGATTCCGCCTCATACCCATTAGAGTGACTATAATAAATGTAAAAGAGTGTGCAGACATAGACATGCTGGTGGGAACAGAATATAATTACTAGAACACAGTTTGACATTGCCTCCGAAATTTAACGTTACCATATGCTCCAGCAATTTCATTCCCAAGTAGATGCTTGAAAGAACTGAAAACTTCTTTTCGTGTGAGGACCTTCCAACTGTTGACTTACTCCCCAAATGCCCCCAAGAGCCAGGAATTTGTTAGACTGAAGCCAGGGGTCTGGAATTTAATCTCTGTTTCCCAAAAGGGTATCCAGGACCCAGGTATTTGAGACATTATCTCTGCTTCTTAGTTTGCGTATGAACAGGATGTTAGATTGGGAGTGGCATAGCTAGGATTCGAACCAACCACTCTGATAGGTGGGCATCTCAAACAATGATTTAATTGCCCACAGCACCCACCACAGCAGCATTGTTAATAGTAGACTAAAAGTGGAGAAAATGCCCATTAACTGAGGCACACAAATAAATGTAGCATGTACATATATTGGGGTGTTATTTGGCCATTAAAAGGAATGAAGTACTGATTCAAACTGTATCATCAATGAATGTCAAAAGCATTCCAGTAGGTGAAGGGAGGCAGAGGAAAAGATGCTGTGTAAAGCATGATCTCATTTATATGTAATATCTGGAATGTGCAAAGCAGTAGATACGTTGGTGTCCAGGACCTGGGGGGAGGGAAGGGTGAGAAGCATATGATTTATTTTGAGGATGAGGAACATGTTCTGGAAATAGATAGCAGTAATATTTGCCTAACCCTGTGAATGTACTAAAATATTTTAAAGGATATAACATTTTAAATGTTATGGTGTATAATATTTCAACTAAGGATTCACCCAAGGTAAAATAAAGATGAGTCTGATTATGTCTGGAGTAGTATTGATACTAAGTTCTGAATGAGGCCTTGCTTCCCCCCCTTGAACATGGCTGATGAATAAATGTGTATACATTTATATATAAAGTTTGTTGCTGTCTCATTGTGTGAAGGCAAAAGATGAAACAACAACAACAAAACTACCTGAAATTCTGTTTCCTAAGTAAGATATTCTCTGTAAACATTGGTTCTCGGCACTGGTTAGCCTGGCAGAGTGAAACCCTTCAGGTGGTTTAGCCTAGAGGTTCCTTTGCTGAACCATCCCTGCCTCAGCTGAGAATCACTGTTGGTATGTCTGTGGAAATGACAAACCTATTTTTTAAAGGATTTATTTATTTTTATTTGAATGTGTAACAGAGAGAAGGAGAGAGGGATCTTATATCCATTGGTTCACTCCCTAGATGTCTGCAGCAGCCAAAGCCAAGAACAGTGTGTTTCTTCTGGGTCTCTCCCGTGGGTGCAAATCCCAAGCGTGTGAGCCATCTCCTGCTTTACCAGGACATTAGCAGTAAGCTGGATTGGAAGAGGAGGAGCTGGGATTCAAACTGGTACCCATGTGGGATGTTGGCATCACAGTTGGCACTTTTCCCATTACATCACAGTGCTTTTCTGACAGTCTTACTTTTTCTGATGTAACCCAAAAATAACCTGGAAAACTTGGAGAAGGTGTGAGTCTTGCCTCATCCCTGTGGATTGTTTGCTACTTGACATAGTTTTCATTCTGGTAGCATCAGCCTTACACACTTGGTAGCAATGTGTACTCCATTCAAGCAGGCATTTAGCTTGACAGTTAAGATGCCCAACTTCCACATACAGTACCTGGGTTTGATTTCCAGCTCTGGTTTTTCAGTTTCCTGTCATTTCAGCCTCATAGAAGCAACGGTGCTAGCTCAAGCAATTAAGGGTTCTTGGCATCCATATGGGAGACTTGCATTGTATTCCTGTCTCCTTGCTCTGCTTGAAGCCCAGTGTTTTTGAGGGCATTTGAGGAATGAAACAGTGGGTAGGAGTTCACTCTCTCTCTGTCCTGTCCTGTCCTCCTCTCTTCTGTCTTACATTTCCCATAAATAAATAAATAAATTTAAAAAATGTATGTACAAACCCTAGACCTCCTAATTCAGAAACTGTGTTCCCATAAATTCTCTAATTACTGATGTGTGTGAGAGGCAATGATCTAGAGCGATCGCAAGTAGGAAGGACCAAGAGCTAAGGCTAAGTTCTTCCAGTAATTACCTGGATTTTTGACCTGCAACACGTGAGGCATAATACTGTCTCCCCCACCCCTTAAACAAGTGATGTCCTTGAGTACCCTTCGTTTCTGGATTTGGACTCATCATTACCGTTTTCCATGTAAGTGGTTCCAAGCCTTTGCACTATTCTTGCAATTTTAAAAAACTACATTTTCAAAATATTTTAACACATCAGGATATTGAAGGTGGTCTGATACACATAAAAAACAGAAATGAGGTTATGGAACTCAGATTGAAACTATTTATTATAATCTCTAAAATAATTTCAGTTGGCACAACTGCTGCTTAAAACCATATCAGTATCAGGCTCAGAATTTAATGACAACCAAGCAGTTCACAAAAACACCTTGAGCAATAAAACATGCTTAATATTTCTTTGAGAAATGTCCTTCAACAACATGCATAACACAGCGGGAGTTCCACAAAACTGTTAGAAGGCGACGCTTGAGGGCCTAGGTTCTGCATTCCCACTCATATTGCTGAGCATTTCCGACATCTGTGAAAGGCTAATTTAGCCACGTTTCATATCCTTCCCCATTGCAAAGGCCTTTAGGTTGCAACTTGCCTTCTTAAGGAACGTTCTGGGTCATTTCTTAGGAAAATAAAACCATGCACACTTTTGGGGGGGAAATCAAGCTGCTGCGACCTTTAGTTTTTACTTAATATACTCCAATGAAGAGTCACTAAAATTTTTGGAAATTTATGTTACATTTTTAAAAGTACAAATTACTAGGGGAAGGAGTTGAAGTTATTTACCAAGTGCTGGGTTCTCTTAAAGTCACAGTTTTCTGAATAAATACATGTAACACCACTACATTTTTTTTTAACTCTATTATAGCCAGCCTGAAGAGAACTTTATTTTGGGTTGTCACTTCAACATCTTAAATAGTATTTTTCCTTTGCTATTATTAAACTCTTTCTTTCAAAACATTTCTAATTGTTTTTATAGATATTGGTTTCACTGTGAATGTTACAATACCTCAGCCTGAGTTTGGTTTTGAAAAAAAAAAAAATTAACATTTGAAACTTCAGCTGGTCAAATCAGAAGGAGAGGGGTTACTGTAATTTTATTATACCTTGTATTAACAATAAACCTTCTCACAGAGAAGAACATACTTTAAATACCTTACGTCATATTTACAACAATAAAAATTCACATTTCATGCTTAGTGAGACACTTCAGTCACCCATCAAGTAGTCTTCATGGTTACCCGAGACAGAGCCCTTTTAGTATCTGGGCCTCTCCTGTGCTCCAGATAAAAAACTCTTCATCAACCCTTCCACCTTCCTGGTCTGCTTGGAAATGGGAGAGTTGGTCCCCCTAGCCATCAACTTGTGACCACAATCCAATGTGCTGTAGGCTTTGGGACGTGTGCTGATACCAAGTTGCTGGAAAGTGCTCAGGAGCCAGGGTGTTCTCCAGCCACAGGATGAGAGTTCTGCCGAGCACAGTTAAATGCTTCCTTTATGTGTCTATTGCACAGATTTTTTTTTTTCTTAAGGTCCCAGAAATAGTGCTGCATTTCTTTCATTGCTATATACATTTTTCTGATAAGTTCAGTGTTTCACTGGGAAATGTGACTTGTAAGGAGTTCCCCTTAGGGGCAGGCCCAGCCCTGTTACCCCCACCAACTTCATCCACCAGTAAGACACTCTCTGAGTCCTGACCCTGTGAGGACTCCGAGGTCTCTGATATTCGCAAAGTCCTCAGGGAGGTGGTGTCTGCTTGGGCCAGGCCCACCCCAGGCACACCTGGAAGCAAATTCCTGCCTCCAAGGCTGCTTTCGCTGAGCTCTGGCAGGTAGAGGAGGGTCTGGGATGTGCTGCTGATCTCCTTCAACTCTCTGGAGAGGAAGGAGCGAGAGTGACTGGACATGGCAGAAGATGTCCTTCGGCTGTCTGTGCAGTGCGGTCCTGAATGGTCCCTGCGGGAGCCACCAATGCGGCAGAAGAGGCATTTGATCTTCTCTATGGCTTTGCTCAGCACTGTCTTCCGCAGGAGGATGTATATCCAGGGATCCAGGATGGGGTTCACAGAGGCAATTCGGATGGCCTGCAGATCGGGGTTCTGGCTGATTTCTCGCACCAATTCTGGCTGATATAGCTGGTTGATGAACACTCGCACCTGCAAAAATGAGATTCCATGTTTAAATTTTATCGTTCTTTAGTTAGGAAAACATGGCAATACTGTTAGCTACCTCAGGATTGGTAGGCAGTTGGCCTGTTTTCTGGTAATAAATATTGAGAAAAGAATCACAGAAACCAGCAATTACAAAAATGTGATATTTATGTTTAGAGTTAGTATAACTTGAAATATTTTTGTAACTATCTGATGGGTGTCTTCCTCAGATCAAAGAGTATGAAAAGGCAGTGTCTGTGTGTATTGTGTATGCATCACATCTGCTTCAGAAGCACTACTTTCTGCGAGCGCTGTGAGCTTGTTATGAAATAGCTTTTTGTTTCCAGAATCACTGATTTCTCTCATTCCAACTGACATTTTTTATGTTTCAAATAAAATTCATCTTTAAGTCAACTATCCATCTGATCATCACAGAAAGGCTGAGATCCCAGATCCTAGAAAGAAACTTTAAACCCATGTTATGATTTCCTATCATGATCATAGAACAGTTTTTTTTTTTCTCTAGCTCTGTTCCCCAATTATATTCATCTGGTATCTGTGCCTCTTCCTGGAGTCAAAGCCTTCCAGTCTTTCCCCTCTAGTTGCATTTCTTACTGCCATCAGTCACCAACTTGGCCTTCACACCTGCAGTTCCTCTGCTCTGCGTTCCATCTTCCAGACTGCCACCAGGGAGATGATTTCTATAGTAGGTATCTGGGTATGCGACTCAGCTGCCTAGCTATAGAAGGCCTGCTTACAAACTATAGTTTTTCAAGGCCGGCCTTAACTGCTACTCACAGGATCCATCCTTCAATCAGAATCCGTGCAGCTTTGAACTAAAACCTAGTCAAGGACTGCAAGTGCACCGTGGACACCAGCCAACAGGGATGACAACTTAACTGCAGCACACATTGAGCTCTGAAGTAAGGGTCCTTTGTCAGCACGTTACATGTCAGGTATGGCATAAGTGAATTAAATGCAAGAAGACTTTGGCAATCTTGCTGACATTTCGAAGTCTTATTTTTGTCAGCGAAGAAAACCTGCTGTTACTATAAACAGCTGTTATCATTCTTTCCTGTGTTTTGCCATTTAGCAATAAGAGCTTACTACATCTTAGGCAACACGATAGGTTCTGTGGACCACAAGTTGCTTTAGATTGTAAACTTCTTGAAGACTGAGATAATAGTGCAGTGAGCTCATTTCAGGGCGATGAAATGAAATGGGAGACAAGCTCATCTGTGGGGCCAATCCAGGTTGATGGAAGATGAAACTAAAAATGGGCTTCTTTTGTTGTGGACTCCTTGAAATCCGTGCATTGTTCTTCACCAGCTGCATTTCCCTGTCACCTTTTGGAAATACCTCAAGGGGTGCATTGCTGCTAACCCAGGGCCTCAGGAGACACTGCCTGGATTTGAAACTTGCTGGGTTTTGATGGATGTTTATGAGTTTGCTAAATTTAGAGTAAGGAAAATACATTTCAGATGGAAGTAGCTGCATGTGCAAAGTCATGAAAGAATGAAACGGTAAATTTTCTGGGAGCTCCAGATATGCAGCCAGAAAAGAGGAGAAAGGTGGGCCCTCTCTGTTCCTGGAGAAAAAGGCACTTGTTAAATGAGAAGTCTCAAATTCAGACTCCAGGTCTTTTTTTTTTTTTTTTTTTTTGACCTGGATCTTTTAGTCACTCCATCATCATTTGCATAAAAGTTTCTACTTTATATAAAATAATTGTTTAAGATAATTCATAATTTAGTAATTATCTCTTAGGAATTTTTTAAATTTTTGTGTTTTGTTTATTTTTATTTGAAAGGCAGATTTACAGAGAGAAGACGACAGTCTTCTGTCTACCAGTTTACTCCCCAAATGTCTGTGACAGCCAGAGCTAAACTGATGCAAAGCAGGAGCCAGGAGCTTCTTGTGGGTCTCCCAGGTGGCTGCAGGGTCCCAAGGACTTGGGTCATCCTCCACTGCCTTCCCAGGTCGTAAGCAGGAAGATGGACGAGAAGTGGAGCAATCAGGAATCCCATATGGGATGCTGGTGCTTCAAGTGGTGGATTAGCCTGTTATGCCACTGTGCTGGCTCCACTTTTAGTAATTCTTTTAGCTTACAAAAAGAGTTCAGAATCCCTGAGAAGCTCCATTAGAAACCTTAACAGGAAGAAAATCACTCACTGAACTAACGCCTGTATCTGTTAACCTGGAGCAGTGAGGACATTGCTCGATTCCCACAGTGTAATGATGAATCACCACCACAGGGAAGGGACGGCTTAGAAAGCGATGCTGCAGTTAGGATAAGAGCAGAGAGTTGCAAGCATGGCTGCAGAATCCATCTTTCAGCATTCTCGTGTGAAGCTGGATGAATGCTACAACTGTATCACTGCGTCTTCCTTCAGAGCAGTTTTTATTTTTATTTGTTTGCTCTCTGTGAGGAACTTAATTGACTGAAAAATCTGACCCAAATCTATTTTGGCCGCAATACCTGAACCGAACAAATGATGGTTTTATTTTGTTTCACTTAAATATTCTTTTGTTTCCCCTCAGGGATTACTGTTACTGTTTCTGATAGGAAAAAACATATTAAATAGTATATGGTTATTTTTTCTAAAAGCCAAGAAATCCTGAAAAACATCCAACCCTGTATGTTTTGGTAAGGGATTATGGCCCTGTAAATATCGGTGAATAAAATAATCTAATGGCTCTGAGATGAAATTAATAATTGGATCTCCAGGAGACAGCTAACTGAAGAATTAACTAGGGTGCACAGCAGTGTTAGGGACTTCCACAAAGGTCATGGAATATGGAACTAAAGCCTAAGCTGATGTTGGTGCAAACTATCTTTGAAATCCATGCATACTTGAGGTTTATGTGAACTTGAAAAAGTTCATGAAAAATGTATGTTATGACAAGCTGTATTGTACATTTCAAAACTTATCTGCACAAAGTTAATATTTAAAATTTTTTAATCAGTCATTTAAAAAATTTACTTGAGAGGCAGAGAGGTAGTGATAGAAGCAGACAGATCTTCCGTCCTTTGGTTCGCTCTCGGACAGGCTGCAGCAGTGGCTGCTGGGTAGAAGCAGGTCATTGGTGCTGTCTCTCAGGATGTGAGCAGCAGGCAGAGCGAAACCCACACCCGGCCACTCTGACATGCCATGTGGGTCAGTTGCCTTCTCCTAAACTTATCTTTTATTTCAATCTTCTAAGAATTTAATTTTTTTATTAATATAAAGAGAACAGATTTCATAGGTACAAATCCAAGAAAATAATCATACTTCACCCCTCTCCCTCTCCCTTCAAATTACCCTTCCTTCGTATCTTTTTGTTTAGGGTGTCTTCCCTTAGAAAGCTTTTTGGAAATTGTACTGGAACAAATGCCAATATCAAGACAAAGCAAGATTAATTTTTTTCTAAATCTTCACAAAAATACATGAGACAAGTAACCGTAGTTTTTCTTCTGTGAGTATATTGAGGTGCCCAGTGATGCTTGGGAAATGAGTAATTCTCTCAGACTCGAGACTTTTCTGACGAGTTTGTTCCTTAGATCTGGGCGTTTTGAAGCCTGTAACAGGTCCCTGGTGCTGCTGGAGGCCATCGGAAGCCCTAGGTGCCAGATGACCTCCTGGGAGCTTTTTCTGTGTTATGAAACTGGCTTTTGGGTTGACTTACAACTTCAGGAGATGCATGAGGTTTATAGTTTGCTCCCCTCACATGACGTGTTTCTGAAGGTAACAGATATAATGAATTTTTGCCTATTAGTGTCAAGTTCCAAGTGTCCTGCTAGCGTTTCTGTGAACTTGGAACGTCCAGCCTCTAGGTGGCAGTGTTGCTCCTCCGGGGGGTTTTGGTACCACAGTCTCCTTAAGCATTTTGCCAGCTATCTCCAAAACCCTTCCAGAACAGAATCTCAATTAAATCGGAACCTTACATTTCTGAGATTTTAAACATTGAAATGCTTTTTTGCTGATCACTTCTCCATTGCAGTCTCAAAGAAACCATAGTTACTACTGAAAGAATGGTAATTTTCGAACAGCTAAAATGGAATGGAATCAGTAGCTATTTAAGGAATGTACTAGAGATTACCATCATAATCAAAGGTGAGGAGGAAAGGGAAGACGTCTAACTGCCTCTGTGGTAGTGATTAATTTTGACGGCTAAAGAAGAGAATGAGAGGAAGCTGTAAGGAAAGGCATGCTGTGTTTTAGAGCTCCATGGGGAGAAAGCTTCCAGGCTGGGACAGGCCACGAACCTGGTCACTCCATTAGACCTTTTCTGTAAAGGGGAGCTCACAAGGTAGCCAGAGTGAAAAGAGGAAAATTCCAAATTCAAGTTAGAAAAATTGTTTAGAATTTGTTAAATAATATGAAAAGAAATCAATTTGAATGGCTTTCAGTTTGTGCCACTTTCTCCATGGAGATCTGCTTCAAGTAAAAAAAAAAAAGGATAAAAATGAATAAATCTCCATACTGTTGTGTAATAATTGAATAAATATAGCAACAACCTCTGCTTCCAACAAGGCTGCTGGATTTAGTCTTCCTAAAAGGAGAAAAATGCACAGCAAAACTTCAGTGTCATAGGAAGGTGAGAGAATTTTCTGGAAATCTTGTCCAATAGGCCCTATATTTTATACAAATAAACATATCCAGGCGGCTCGCAATGTTGGAGGCGAGTGCTGCTGATCAACAGAACCTTTGAGTCAGGGCAGGGAAACCTTGCATAAAATTAACTGACTATAAATATCCTATTTGCTTTCCACTTTTCCAATTTTGCAAGTTAGTCATTTTTCCTTGGCAGCTGCAGCTATGTGCATGTGATCATCATTAATATCGGCAGCTGGTATTTACCACTTCTGGAGGATTCATGGTTAGAGTGTAGAACTGTGGGAACTTAATGTGGAGAAGGTGTGATAATTGCAAAAGAGGATGGGATGGCAGGGCAACTGTGAGGGAAGCTGTTGGTGAAAAGCTTTGCAATCCAATTGTTCCCATCCTGCCTCTGCTTTTTTATTTATTAAACTACAGATTATTAAAGTTCTCACTGAGGTGCACAGCATAGCATAGTCGGTGCTTGTTATTTTTCTTATAACCCACAAGTTAAAGCTTGGCCACAGTGGACTATATTTGAACACTTCAGGTAGGGTAACTCTAGTCTAAGCGACATGTACTTCCAACTTAAAAGAATAATCTGTTTGCAGGGAACTGTCCAAACAGTAAGCCTTCCCATAAGCGACAGGCTGTATGACTGCATGTGTGAGCCCATGCTCCTGTTGTGGGTGCACAGGATGGATGGTATCTGTGTGTCCAGTTAGCACCTTGTGAAAAGTCCAGACTAGACATGGCTGTCAGCAGAAATGCTTACCACTCTTTTTCTTTTTAGATGTAGAGTTGTTGACAATATGGGGGCATGAAAGAGCTCTGTTCTTGTTTCTTCCAGGTTACTAACTGGCCACTTAGCGTGGGCAAGTTACTTAATGTCTCTATTGGTCAGTCTCCATATTGAAGTTTAAACTCTAACATCCTAACAGGAGAATGCAAGGAAAAGACTTTTGTTAGTAGATGTTTAATAAAACTAAGGTTTGACAGGTCAGTAAAGCATGGTGAAAAGATCATTAGATGAGAACTCAGCTGTAGCCAGCCCTCAAGTTGTAGAATTGTGTAAGTTCTTCCTCCCTGCTGCTGGCGGTGCTGAATGTTCTGGGCTGCCCTGTTTTCTTCCTAGTGCTGTTCAAGAGTCAAGTGAGACAGCTGCTGGATGTGGAAATACCTTGCTTTTATGTATTCCTCTGCAGGCTTGAAGGTATTGCCCCTGGATCAGCAATTTCCTGTTATTTCCAAAAGTTTGTTTCTAGGAACTGCTGCTTATTTATGTATTTTTGCAATTTAGCCAAATCAATTTGAAGCATAACAAATTCTTTAGATTATTCTGCAATTGTCTCAAGCATATGGCATTAGTCTTGTACCTGAAGCTACCACTTTGACTCAGCCGTTATTTCATAACCCCACTTCCAGTTTTCCTCTTGTAAACGAAAGTCTATCTATTTACATGGTTTTCCTCTGTTTTCATAAACTTCTGCTGATGACATGCTGTGGAAGCCTCTAGAAACAAGTTGCATATAATGAGCAACCAAATAACTCCTCACAAGGAGCCCAGGTTTTACCTGAGGGAAGCAGAAGGTTAATCAGGCTAGCTATACTACTGTCAGTGATGAATGTGTCTTACCTCAGAACAGGAAGAAAGAAGGCAAAGAGAAAAGCAATAAGTATAGTCTTGACCTGCTTGGCTGTGCATGGGAGAATATCTTTAAACCCTCTTGTATAACTGTTTGGCACTAAGGCAAATGACTTAGTTATAATTTTAAATCTAAATGTTAGCATTGAACCTTCAAAACTGGGCAACAGAAATTGTTCTAGCAATAGCACAGAACATGGGGACTTTAGGAGACTGTCTTGCTTGCATATTTGTAAAGAATACAATACCCGTCACTTTTGAAATCTTAAGCTGCAACTTTCATTTGTTCTGCTCCTTCTGCGTCCAAAAAAAAAAAAAAAAGGAAGCAGATGATAAAGAGTGGTAAAGAGAAGAAGGGACAGTAGCACAAGAGCCACCTTCCTACCTAAGCCCTGTGGATTGTATTTAAACCCTCTTGGTTCCCTGACTACAACCCACCTTGGAGGTTCAGCACATCTCCCTGTGATTCATTTACCAACCTTTCCCGAGTTTCTATTCCAAGCCCAGCTCCATTTACGACACATACACATACCTCTATCTTGGAAAACAAAATTGTCTTTTCCTTCTGAGCCGTCAGCCACGCTGGAAGAGTCATAGTAGCTTCCCTCCCAAGTGTCCACAGAGAACAACTTGGCTGCTTTTCAGTGGCTGCTTGCGATCCCTGTGTACTATGTCAAGATTGCTGAAACTCCAGATGAACTGCGTTTGCTCTGCTAGTTTTTCACCAGCTTTCTGCATGATTCAAAGGGTTTAACAACCAATTTTATTTCAAAAAGCTAAAAATAGGTGCTTCCTTACTCTCCTTGGAACAGAAGATTGGCCCTACTACTTTAATGTCAGAAACTTTCATGTGAAATTATAATCTCAACATAAGAATGTGATGAAAGAGCATTATGAAAGTAAGCCAAGGATGACTGGAATTGTGGACAAGTTCCCTGCTGATTCTTTTCATACTTCTAAATGAATGACTCCAGCACTTATCACGAATTTACAAATTACATGGATTCTGGAATTAAATTTTAGCAGCCAAAACTAAAAGCTCAACTCTGAAGCTACTACAACTTGTACAGTTCCTTATTTCTCACAAAGCCATATTAATTCTTGACTAATAATGATTGCTTATTAACAAGCCAGTTTCAATTTTCAAGTAAATTTGCTTAATATGTGCTTACGTTATTGACACTATACAGGACAGTATATATTTTTAAGTATGGTTAATTTGTGAGTCACATATATTGTTCTTCTAATTTCCTGCCTCCCTAGTGCTCAAGTAGTTTCAAATGCTTTGTGATAAATGGCCCTAGATGTTAAGGGCAGGTCCCTCACTTCAATCCAAGAGACGTAATTAAGGTTTGGATGCCTCTGTCGATTGTGGAGGAAAAAAGAAAAACAAAATTTCACCTGTGGCTGCAGGAATTGATAGCTCCACAAATCTACCTGCCAGAAGTGCATACACATTGCTGCTCTTCCCGTTGTAACTTCTCAGTTCCTAAAAGTGGATGTTCTCTAAACAATAGCCCATCACATTGTCATTTACAATTCTCTGAAACACGAGGCAGAGTCCAGGACCCTGCAGGCCCCAGAAGCAGCAGAGCAGTTTCTTTTAAAATCTCTCTTCACTAGGAGTTGCCATTACAGACATATTTATGTGACTCAAGTGTGACTTAACTCCGTTAATTATATTAGGTCCTGGGATAGCTTAAAGGCTATCCTAGTCAATTATATTTACTTCTGTTTATACAAATTGGCGAGAAGCTACTGTATGCTGGCTCTCAGCCACCTCTGAGTTCCTTCCACTTACAGTCATTTTTATCAGAGATATAATGTTTTTACATCAAAGATCCCTGGGAAGGGAAAAATAATAGCCCATTACATTTATTTTCTCTTGCTCCAATAAGCACAAGGAACAGCAGTCATTTCTTTCTGAGCTGGCCATTTGGAACTGCCAGGAATGTAATGGTTTGAGAGATGCAGAACTCAGAATTAGTTGCATTCGAGATCAACTACAGATCAAGTATTTAAGTTCCTCTGCCCATCTGCTTCTAATGCATTTTGTTTTAATGACAGGCAAAACAGAGAACTGGGTAGCATTCTGTTTATAGTATTCTGAAATGTTAAAAGGAGATGTCCTACAAATGGATGTTATCAAAACTCAAATGCATGTTGTACAAAGACCAAAATTAGCAATATTCTAGAAGGGAGATGTCATATGAGCAGGGTTGGAATCAGATGGCCTAACGTCTATTAGAAGCCGTGGGGCTGTGGCCTGGCAATAAAAGACAATTATCTCTAAACCTGCTTCTCTGACTCTCAGTTTCTCACAGCTGTTGACAGTTCTAACTTAACACCGCATGCACATCAGCCTGGCCATACCTGGCCGTGGAAATTGCTTCCCTGCCCTTCAGAGCACTTGGAGGGACCCAAGTCTGGGACATGCCGAGGGTGGTCTGCATGGGTCAGGAATCTGCCGTGACTGCATGGGCTCTGCAGGACTCCTCTAGGCAGGACACTATGAATTGAGGGAAGGGATTAAACTATACAGCAGCCCACAAATCTCTTCCAGCTCTAAACTTCCAGATGATTCAGACAAAAACCTCAGCACTAATAGAAAAGAGAGAGAGAGCAACCTGTGGAATGGTTGACAACGTTTAAGGCTCTGCCTTTCGACGGGTAGACAACCATGCTAAGTCATATCACAGGGTTCCTCCCGACGTGTGAGCAAGAGGGGGAGTGTTCCCGGAAGACTCTGGAGGCCAAAGTCACGCAGCAAGGGTGGGGGCTATTCCAAGGGAACATACACAGGCTTTAGGAGAAAGCGGCCCTGGGAATGGATTTGAAAAACACCTGCTAACCCTGGTTACACTTAGAATGTCCTGGGGCTTGTTCCTGGTAGCGATATAGGAGGATCCTAGCGCTGCTCTGGAGTCAAAGGGACACAGGGGGGAAAATCCAGGAGCGGAGCCGCAGCCCCAGCCACTCACCACGAGCGGGATGGAGCAGATGAGCACCACCAGGGAAGTGGCAATGAGCAAGATGACCATCTGGATCTCTGCGCCGGCGATGCGGCGGAAGCTCCTGCGGCGGCGAAAGTCGCTGAGGCGCGGCACAGCTGGGGAGGCGGAGGGGTGGCCCCGGCAGGCGGCCGAGGCCACGGCGGCGGCCGCGGCGCTGTGCTGCTCCGTGCCCAAGGAGGTGCGGCGCATGAACTGGCGGTGCATGCGGAGCAGCGCGCCGCACACCAGCACGTTGCAGAGCACCGTGGCGAGGATGAGGAAGGAGCTGAAGCCCGCGTACATGTAGGAAAAGGCAGCGTGGGCTGTCACGTTGGTGCGCCAGTCGATAAAGCACCAGGTGTCTGGGAACTGCAACCGCGAGCTGCCCATGCCCATGTTGGGCAGAGCGCAAAAGAGCACGTTGGACGCATAGACCGCGAAAAGCGTGAGGCCGGCCAGCCGCTTGTCCACGTAGTGGCTGTAGAAGTAGGCGTGGTTGATGGCCAGGTAGCGCTCGATGCTCATGGCACAGATGATGCTGAGGCCAGACAGTCCGAAGAAAAGCAGGATGAAGGTGCTGTAGTCACACAGCGCCTGGCCCCCGGGCCACTGGCCCTTCATGTAGGTGGCGATGGTCACAGGGCTCACCAGCAACGTGCCCAGCAGGTCGGTGACAGCCAGACCGCACACCAGCGTGTAGAAAGTAGTCTCCTTCTGCTCCTTTCGAGACTTGCACAGCACCACGATGGCCACCAGGTTGCCCACCACCCCGAAGATGAACATCACCGCCGGAATGGTGACCGGGTTGTTCAGCCGCTCGGCCATCGAAGAGCCGGACACGTTGGCCACGGGAGTGGACATGCTGATGTCCTGCACTGAGCAGCCTTGGAGTGTGAGACTGGGTCTAGGGATAAGGGAGAGAGGCAAAGGCACAGTGAGCAGAAAGGACCACCTGCCAGGAGGAGGTGCTGAGAGCCGGGGAGCAGCTCCGTCTTACTAGCTGGAGGGCAGCCAGAGCCATCTGTAGCTGTCCACGTCCCTGGGCTCCCAGTGCGCCCCACCAGCAGCACCGCTCTACTGACAACAGTATTGATAAGCCAATCATGCCCTCCCCGCCTCTTCCCCTCCTCCCTTTCTCAAGGGGAAAGTGACTTGCTAATTTTTATAACCCGCAGACTCCACGCCAAGAAAATTCCCACTGCCAAGCCATGGGGGACAGTCTACCCTCATTGCCCCCTCTCCCCGCGCTCGCAACCCGATTCCTCTGTACCCAGGGTTACCTGGAAAGGCCTGAGCGGTGGCGGCGCCGGGAGTCCCCAGGTCCTTAGATGTCCTAGACCCTCCTGCAACCTGCTTCAGCTTAGACCCGCTCTCTCCGACTTCTCAGAACCCGGTCGCGGTTAGCGTCCACTTTTCCGGAACTGGGGTCTGAGTGGCCGGCTTTGAAAAGCGTGGAGAGCCAGCCGGGCAACTGGTGGGTCAGTATCGAGGAGTTTTCAATTTCTGGTTCAGTTTTATTTCTTCTTTCTTTAAAGGTCAGTCCCAGTTTTGTAAAGCCCCGCAGGTCCAGTCCGCGGGAGGACAGCGTTCAGGTGAGCGGCCAGGGGCGCAGGTGGCACGGAGCTCGGACCCTGTCTCTGGCCGCTGCCCTCCGGAGCCGCGGGCAGTACCAATGGCTACCGGAGTGGGCGGCTGCCGCTGGGGCCACTCCTGGAGTCCTGGGGGTGGCTCGGGGTCCACAGGGCCTGCGCCTCTGATCTGGGGCTGTTCATCTTCCTCTGGGGCTGCTGGGTTTCGAGCTCCGCTCTCACCCTTCCAGCCTCTGTACAAACTTTTCTGCTTGTTCAAGTTTCCCTGACAGAGGCGGAGACGGATGCCGAGCGGCCCGTGTGCTTATTGGCGGGACTGGAAGGAGGCGGAGCGCGTTCCACCTCCGCGCGACCGGGAAGCGCGGCTGGGCGGAACCGGAGCCCAGCCAGGGCGGGCTCGAAGTTGCGCCGGTTAGGTCGGGTGGCTGGAGGGGTAGGGGTAGGGGGGCGGGACGGGGTGGTGGCTCCCCGAGCTTTTCCGGCCTGGGAGCTATGCAAAGGTGCCGCGGGCAGAGACCCCGGGAAGCCCCGGTGCTTTCCCGGGCACCCTCAAGCCTCTAGTGGAGTAGAGAGGTCCCTCCTCCCTGACTGCGTGCGGCTTCCACTGAGCTGTCTTTCACACCTTCTACCCCTGCGGCCGCGATAACAGTTCTGGGTGGGGAGGACCACTGCTTTATGACTTCACTTTGAAGCCTACACACGGAGAGGAGGAGCCGGTGTGTGCGCGCACGGGCTCGGGGCCAGGGGCCAGACTTGAGTACGCGCAGCGGACGTGGTGGCTGGACGGGTGTGTGGATATCAGGTTTGGGCGGGGAGACAACCAAGATCCATCCTCTCGCCATAAAAGGAGTTGGTTGGTCATGACCGGGCTGTGGATTGTGCCCGATAGGGTACCTTAGGCCAAGCGAGAGCAAAGGGAGTTGCAGCGTCTCCGGGCGCAGGTGACTCAGCCCAACGGTGTGAAGGAAGGTGGCCCTCAGGTCCAGGTGGTCCGGGTGGAGGGCCGTGCGTCCACGGAGATCTTTCTCGTTGTGTGGGAAACTTGTGCCGGTTTCGTGCCTTGGGCCATGTCCCAATCGGGTTGGACATTTACCAGCACAAATCCTTTGAAAGGCTCCTGGAGTGAGAGCAGAGGCGCAGATCAACCCAGTTTTCAGGCGTCAACTCCCTGCTTGGGAGAGGTTTCTTCGCTTTGCCATTTACTGTGATTTGTACGTTGTGTAGCTTGTTGTCTGGTGGGGAACAAGGTGTGTGCTTGTGTGCGTATTCATCGAAACTGAACACAGGCAAAGAAGATGTAAAACTTAGTGGTGTAATCAAAATTTCACTTTTTTTTTTAAACCACGAGGTGAGATTGTATGGATCTTCGCACCGTTTCAATTCCTAGAAAAATCTTTTCCATCTGCTGTAAACAGATGCATTTTAACATAGTAATTCTCCCCAGAGGTTAATAACTGAATTCTTATGAAAGCATCTTTGGGAATTTATCTGGTTGTCCAGTTAGTTTCATGAACACGTGAGGAGTAAGAAAAAGAAGAGGAAATAACAGATTTCAACTAGTAATAGCTCCTAAAATGCCTAAAAATCACATTTATTTGTGTAAGACCCCATATGAGTGTCCTGACCTAGTGTCTCTTCTATTGCATGAAGTATTTACTCATTACTATCAGAAGGAAAAGCAAACACATTTTCTAGCTGATACAGAAAGAAGCAGTGGCGATTGGCCATTTGCAAAGTCTCCCTTTAACCATCGTGCTTCTTTGGTGTGGTAGCCTGGCGGGCTGTGTCAGCACAGAAGACAGAGCAACAGTAGAGAAAAGGAAGCTGCACTTCTGTTTCCATCCCTCACCAACCACAGGGCTGTACTATCACCTATGACAGTTGCTTCTTGGTAAACACATGGCAGGGGTGGGAAATGATCTGAGAATTCACTTTCTGTTCATAAAAATCATGCTTTTCTTTTTTTTTTCTTTTTTAAGTTTTCTTTGCTTTTAAGGCTCTTCAAATGGAACAAGTAGGATTGGCATTTTTCCCCCCACAATGAAGAATACATTAAATGCAAAATGCTCAGGCAGTGAGTCACTATTACAGGTTTTAGCTTGTCATTGATAAACTCAGCTTATCAGCCAAGCTATTTTTCTTATTCATCCTTTAAGTTGTTTCCACAATAGGGTTCAGGAAAATGGAAATAAGAACTTAATATACTAGAAAAAAATGTAAATGAGATTTCTATATACTTCCTTTTGGTGCACGATATTCTTTAAGCTTAATTTGGAAAATAGGGACAGGTGTGGTTGTGTATCAGACTGATCTTCTGACCTGTGGTGCCAGCATACCTGGCGGGTTCTGGTTCATGTTCCAGCTGCTGTATTTCTGATCCAGCCCCTGCTAAGGTGCCTGCGGAAGCAGAGGATGGCTCAAGGGTTAGGCCCTGGTACCTGTATTGGACACCAGGAAAGAAACTCTTGACTCTTGGTTCCCAGCTTCGTTAGCTCAGCTCTAGGTCATTGTGGCCATTTGTGAAGTGAACCAGGGGACGGAAGACCTCTCTCTGTCTCTCCTTCTCTCTGTGTAAAACCTGCCTTTCAAATAAAAAAAGAAAATTTGGGAAACAATTATTTTATTTCTTTAGATTGAATGCTGGGACAGTAGAGTTCAATTTTCCTCTCACCCTACCAGAAATCCACATTATAAAGGGAAAGGAAAAACTGTCATAACTATATGGGCAGTTCTTGCTGTTGTGTGAAGGGATTTTCATTTTTGTTACTGATTTTTAGTTTCCCTCATCATTTATTCCTTAATTCCTACTTCTGTGCACTGGAGGGCCCAGTTCAAGTTTTAGAACTGGCTGAAATCAGTTTGATTGTTTTGGCTAATTATTTGGCCTTTTTTTTTTTTTAAATAATCGTCCTGGAGTGGGTTAAGAGCAGAGGCTGCTGGGGCGAAGGCAGGGAGAGGGGACTCCTTGGCACAATCACATTGTCTAGGTTGACTCTTTTTTGAATTAAAGGACGCATGAGCCAGCCAGAAACTGTGTTCAGCTGGTGTAAATGGGCCAAGAAAGAAGGGTGAGGATTCCTGGGAGGAAGGCAGCAGCATGAATCAAACTTTTGACTTGGCTGCTTTCACTGAGCTTCAGCTGATAGGATCTTCCTGGATTCCTGAAGCACTAACAGTTCATGGAGGAAAGCCTATGCCAATTGTGTTTGCTCTTATCTTTCATGACCAGCTATGCAGACACTCAAAGCAGAGTGCAAAAGGCATCTATCTGGTGCGAGTAACACAGTGCCTTTGGACACACTTGTCTCCTGCTCATCCATCCAGTTTACCCAGTAGATTACAAAGATGACATTGACCTGACCCAAGGCTTGAAAAGAGGCCCAGAGCTGCGGTGGTAGACATAGATGACAGGACTGCCTCTGCAGTCGGGTGTGTTTCAAAAGTGTGGAGTCCTAATTGTCATCATTTCCTAAGCATGTATTGTATGCAGAGTCTAGTGCCAGGAGTTGCTACCCATGTCAGTACCATGCTTAGCTTTTCATGTTGCTAAATTATTGCTGTGGAGGCTCATCATCACCAAGTGATTTTTTTTAACTTTGTTACTTCAGGCTACCCTCTGATCTGAGAGTAAACATTCCTGAAACTGAAGCCTTAATTTGTTTACTTTTTTTTTTGCCTTTTTTTTTTCTACATAGTCTCATTGCCCATTTTGGATTGTACCAATGAAAAGAGCAAAATTATTTAGCTACTCCACCCATTTTTCAAGATGCAGGAAGAGTAGAGAAACTTTAATAGTTTTAGAATCTCTTACAGGAGGGATGGTACCTTCTCATTATAATTCAGATTCTCCTTACAGCCCTTGCTGTAACTTTTAACACTTCCAAAGATACATAGAAACTCCCTAGTTTAATGACCAACCCTGGCTCTGTCTGTACTTGTGTTAATTTATTATGTTCTACCACACTGTATTTTCACACTTGCATTCTGATGCAGTCTTATTAGCAACTTACTGAAAATGTTACCTAGTCGTGATGGAGATCGCCCTGCCTCTTCACCAAGTCCAAATTGTGCCTTTTGGTGGCTAACATCAGTCCACGTGATTGAATTCCAGCCCATGAAACAGAAATGAAAGTGATGTGTACCACCCTTATGTGTGATTCCTCTAATACCCTGATCCTACAGGCTCTCTTTCTTCTTCTGAAAACAAAATATGCTGCAGTATGGCCGAATCACTAGCTAGGGAAGGGGACATCGTCCAGCCCCAGTCATCTCCACTGGACTCTGAAGCGAGCAAGAAATAATCCACTGAGGTTTGAGGGACTCCATCATTCAGCAGTTTGCTGATTAATATAGAGGGATCAGCAACATCTCATTCCAAGGATTGAAAATGTGAGCTCAGAGAAGCCTTCTGAGGAGCTCCAGGTCGTAAGAATGAGTAAATGTGTCCAATGCGTAGTCTGTGTGAGGCACAGTGCAACAGGCTATATGCATCTGCCATGTAATTCTCACCTGTAATGAACGTACCAGGAATTCCATTAGGAGATGCAAGCAAGCAGTGACTTAACTACCGTGCCAGTCTTCTGCCCTGGAGTACTTTCCTAGTCAGAAATGGAAGGAGGAAGATCAACTATTCAAAAAGATATATTGAAGAAAGAAACTGTTCTCTGAGAGCCATGAAGACTCAGTTTCCTAGATCCTGTAGCTACTGATGTCTCATGAGTCCTATGGCACATAGCTGAGATTCTATCCTACAAAAACTGATAGTGTGCTAGACCAGTGCTTGACACACCCAAAGTAGCATGGGCATTCAAGATGTTACGTCCTTGAACTCTGTGATCCATTCCAGTTCTAACTGGCCTCTGGTGTCACAGCAGTCTCTTGCCTTCCAATAGCGATATACGAGAGACAAGCACACAAGGTGCTGGGCCCAGCCCATTGGTAAGCCCTTCCCTCCTGTTGTCCAAGATTTCTGAGAAATCTAGAAACTGGGAAGTGAATACACATGAATGAGGAGCAGTGGAAAACGAGAAGGTAGCAGTTTGAAAAGAATACACTGTGACTTGAGAAAATCTGTCAGTGCAGCCCTCAGCCCATCTATGCAACTGAAGTTCAAAGCTCTTATCTGGGGAAGGGATAAAGGAGTGAAGTATGATGGCTTAATGAAGATAATGCCAGGTTTTCCATCGTTTTGAAACTTAAGCTGGGCTTGCTCCTT